CGGCAGCTGCAGCCGGAATGCGGGCGGGCGAGTGAGCGCGGGGGTTGCGCCGGGCGGGCACGTCCCCCCCGCTCCGCTCCGCTCCTCCCCGCGCCGGCGGCACCAGCGCGAGGGGCAGAGGACGATGCGCTGAGCTGGTCGCGGCGAAGGTGAGTCCGCAGGGGCGGCTCTCGGGGCTGCCTCTGCTGCAAGCGGGGAGGCCTCCTCCAGGCCACAGCCCCCCGCCCGGCTTGCGGGGGGGTCTCTTTGAAACCCTCCCGTCCGCCCGGGCTCTGCCTGCAGCCTGCGTACATGGGGGGCAGTGCCCGGGTCGCCGCTCAGGGGTGCTGGCAGCACGTGCGGGCAGGGGCGCCCGGAGCTATGTCGGGCGATGCGGCACTTCCCTCCCGAGAGGGAAAACGAGCGGGTGGTGCCCGTTTTCTGCCTGACTCCGAAGCTGGCTCCTCCGTGGCTGTCACAGGCAGCCTGCGGGGAGGGGGAAGGAGGTGGAGGAGGTTGTGTCTCATGGACAAAATCCTAGAGGCCTCCTGGATCCATGGTTGCTACAGGTGCGGCAGGATGGTCCCCCCTAGGTATGGTTCCTTGGGGCTTGCTTTAATCTGCTTCAGCTTTCCAAGCGGCTTGGACTTCTCCTTTGGAGGTAGCAGGGGGCTGAGTGAAAGCAGCTACCATGGATGGACAGGAGCCTCCTTGCTGCACATCCTCACCACCCCTGAGCTAAGGGTGGTAGAGGAGCCCCAAAGGATTAGCCCTGGCACTGGCAGAGGACAACTGGTACCTGGGACAGGCAAGAGCCGGGACATCTCTGTGAGCTGCTGCTTTGCTCCTCAAGCTCAACGCTGAAAGGGGTACCAGTATTCGGTGGTGGCAAGAGTCATTCTCTTGGAGGATGATCTCTGCTATGGCTGGTTGATGGGTCTTGAGGTGACTTAAGAGTCCAGTAATTGTTTGGCAGTATTTCCATTATTCCCAGTTGCAGTAGAACAGAAACCTTGGGGAGCTGCGGCTTCAACCTCATTCCAACTGCGGGGAAAAGGAGTCAAGAGAGGAGGCAATCCTGGGTATTTTAATACAACTTGGTGGCTGATGCTGTATCTTGTGCATGGAATATACCCAGGAGCTTATTTTCACGCATGAGACATCTTAAGGATTGAGCTGAGGGAGGAAATCCACCTGCTGTATGTCTGTATTTGAGGGGATGGGGTTCTTGTATTTTTTCCCTTGTTCTGTTGTAATGAAAATGTGCCCCGAGCTAGCATGTCTACGTAAGAAGGGGATTGGCATACAGAGACGGATCATTAAAGAGAGAGTATTGTATGAAGTACTGGTTAGCAGCTTTTACG